AAAAAAAAAAAAAAAAAAAGGCCTGGGGGGTACTGGGGATGTAGCTCAGTGCTGAGGCCTTGGGCTTAATTCCCAGTACCGGTGTGTGGGGGAGGCTGCCACATCTTTGCCTGCTGCTTTGGGGTGTGACTGCTACAGCACCCCCCCAAGGGCTTCACACTCTGAATTTTCTCCTGCTCTCGGGGAGTGGGTGAGACCACTCAAGGACCCCAGTTCTCTCTGTCCGGGCGGTCACTTTCCAGGTCCTCTCCGTCCCCCAGCACACGGGGAGTGAGTGCGGAGAATCCACTTACCAGAAGCCCCTGGGAAATGCTGAACAAGCCTCTGACTGCCTAGAAAGGGGGTCAGCAAGGGCTACAGAAAAAAGACAAGAGACTTGTGCACTTTCCAAGTATACGGCGACCAGGAAGTGAGCGCCTCAGAGTGGGCAAAGACGGAGGCACTGGGACCTTGCCGCGGGCTATTGGGTTGGCTCACAGGGACTGAGGTCGCTGATTCAGAGGGTGGGAGTCGTGCGCTCGCCGGGGTCTGAGGCGGATGCAGTCTCGCATCGCGGACCATTGAGGCCTCAGACAGCCCTAGTCAGTTTGAAATGAGTTCTTCGCCCCAACTCATGTAGAGTGGCTCCGACAGCCTCCTGCCCCAGAGGAAGGAGCCAGTGCAGGGAGCGGCCACCTCCTCCGGCAGCCATCAGTGAACCCCACCTTCACCACCACCTCAGCCCAGAGTCTGCAGCGCTTTTTCTTTTCTTTTCCTGGGGGCGGGGGCTGGGGGTGCATCGAGGTGAGGACTCTACCTCTGAGACACAACCCTTTTTATTTCTTAATAATTTTGAAACAAAGTCTTACTAAGTTGCTAGGCTGGCCTCCAACTTGCAATCCTCCTGCTTGAACTACCCCAGTACTAGGATTACTGGCCTGTGCCACCTGCAAACTCATACATTCGAGTTGCCATTTCACGTATGGGCTTCGCCTCAACGCAGATCCTGACTGGGGGGGTTGGGGTGAGATCTGGGACTCTACACCCGCGCCTGTCCAGGTGTCCCCCCATCCCTTCCTTCCTGGGGTTGATGTGGCCCAGGCTGGACTCTAGCAATCCTCTTAGTAGCTGGGACTGCAGGGGTTCTCCCCCACCTCTGGCCTGGATTCCACATTTCTTTGTTGTTAGTTGTTTTTGGGTACTGGGATCAGGGATCGAACTCCAGACCTGGCGCTTGCAAAGGCAGCAGCACCACGGAGCTAACGCCCCGGCCCCCCACATTTCTGACACCTGTCCAGACGGTGCTGATCCTGCTGGATTTTTCGCCACACAGAATTTCTCCTGACAGTGGTGAAATGTTTGGTCAGAGGCTCTAAAACTAAGTAATTGGAGACCTGGGTTTCTTGGACAACATCTTTCATGGTTGAAATACAAAATGAACACAGCCTGCAGTCAGAACTTCTTTGGAAACCTCACTCCCAGGTAAAGTCACAGAAACAGCAGGCACGCAATGAGGGGCCATGCTGCGTGGAAAGTTCGCGTCTCCTATGGTTTTGGTACCAGGGACTATTCATTAAGACACTTTCTATGGACGGTGGTGGGGAGTGGTGTGGTCTGGATTATGTTATTTTGGGATTACATCTCAGAGCCCCAGCTCCTGCCCACCAGCAGCTCACACTAGGGTTGTATTCCCCCTTTTTTTTTTTTGGTACCGGGGATAGAACTCGGGTCTTTGCACTTGCAAGGCAGGCGGTGGAACCACTGAGCTAAATCCCTGGCCCCGGGCTTGTGTTCCTATGAGAAGCTAATACCGCTGCTGACCAGACAGCAGGCACAGCCACTGTGAATTCAGAGCTTCCCTGACAGGTGTGTGGCCCAGGCGTTGGAAACCCCTGCTCTAGACTGTTTTTGTGGAGAGGAAAAACAGAAAGGCAGATCTTTGTGTTGTACAGAGACCTAGCGAATCCAGATTTCTGGAAGTGTGGCCAGGTGCCTGCATTCTCCCCACACCTTCTCTGGGTGACACTGAGGGTTAGGAGCTACTGATGAAGGACAGCACTTCCTCTGGGGTGAAGGCGGTGTGTTGATGACCCCAGACAGCATGCGTCCAACCCACAGCAGAGCCTCCCCCACTCCCCAGGAAAGTGTCTCAACGTATCGCTCTTGCTGGATTCGAACTAGGCCCACGAAGCCACAACCCTACTTTTTTTTTCTCTTTGGTGCTAGGGTTGAACCCAGGACCCTTCACATGGCAAGCACTTGCTTTAGCCCTGAGCTACACCCCAAGTCCTTCAAAGTCTTCTATTGTCGACCAAGACAACTTTCTGGGAGGCTGGAAGCCATCTGTGTCCACCAGCTGGTGCCGTGTCCTTCTTGTGGCTTTTCTGGGTCTTCAGAAACCCAGGTCATAGCCTATGAAATTGCCAATATGCAGCTGTTTTTAATGCACAGAAAGTCAATTTCTTATGGCTCAACAATTCTCA